GTGCACCTCCTGTCCTGGGCCCCATTCCCAGTTTCCTGGCCCCTTGTCCTTGTCGTCCCACAGCCTGTCCCCGCCACCCCAGCTGGACAGCAGCTCCACAGGTCCAAGATGGGGGTCCCCCAGTGACCTCGCTGCAGGAAGGCCAGGATGGGCCCCTGGCCCCAGATGTTGGGCTTGCGGCGCCTGACTCCTGGTCTTTGGACGGGGAGCAGCAGGGCGTGGGCTTTACTCCTCAGGGCAGCCATCGCCTGCGGCTCTCGGGGATGCCTGGCTTCGGGGCCTGTGTGGACCAGTGGCCTGAGGTGACGGGCCCCAGGCCCTGCGTATGTCCTGCTCACACAGCCCTGGGTGGGATCGGCTCCCGCACTGGGGCTGAGAGAGGCCGTGCCGGGGTCTCAGGACTGTACTCTGCGCACAGTGGGATTCCTGTCTGTCCCGGGTGGCCGGTGGGGGTGGCCGGCGGGGCTGTGCAGCTGAGAAAGGCCGCTTTGTCGGCCCCGGGAAGGCTCTCACCGCCTGGCACCGCCCTCAGCTGGGACGAGTGGTCATTCACATCGAGTGTCCAAGGCAGCCATGGAGCAGGCAGCCACGTTATGAAAGAAAGTGTGCACACTTGCCAGAGGGCTGTGTTGTGCGCAAGGGCGCTCAGAGATGGGGCCACAGACGCGGCGCGGGGACGGGACCAGGCCTTGCTGGCCTCATTCCCCTCAGGGCAGCGCTGGGGGAGATAGAGCTCAAGGCCCTGAGGCTGGGGCCTGGGCGCTGGTGAAAGGCAGTGGAGCAGGGAGACGAGCCCCGTGGAACGTTCTGGAGCACGCAGTCCCAGGAGCCTTGGTGCCCCGCCCGCCGGCATCACACGCAGCCTACCGGGGAAGCGTCGAGGAGCAGGGAGGACACACTCCTCCCCTCCAGGTCTCATTCTTTACCGTCTGTCCCCTTTGTTCACAGCCTCAGGGGCAACCTGGAGCATCTGGCGGCGTCCAGTAAGGGGCCTCCAGCAGCCAGAGCCTCCTCACGGGTGCCCTCTGCTCTGCCCGTGCCCAGGCGCATGCCTGTGCTCCTCTGAGCCAGCTTTCTCCAGTCCGCAGGGATGCGCGTTCCCGGGGCCTTCGAGGTTTCTCGCACAGAAACGGGATCTCGATCAGGACCCTGGGCCTCAGGGTCCCGTCAGCGGGCCCCACAGTAGTCTGGGGCTTCTGCACCCACTGCTCCCCCGGGGCCAGGCCCAGGTGTGAAGATTGGGGCAGCATGGAGGGGATGGACCCCAGGGGCCTGAAGACCAGGGACCCTGAGCAGGAGCTCAGGGAGAGCCCGAGTGACTTCCAGAAGCTTCCTTCTGATGCTCCCACCCCCGGGAGTCCTTTCCCCACGCAGGGCCTGTGGTGTCTGCTGGAGCCGGAGCCTGTTTCTCAACTCAGCTTGCAGCAGAGCGCGTCCCACACAGACTCCTGGGCGCCCAGAGGGGTTGGCGCTTTGCCTCGAGTGGAAGAGGTTAACCTTCCAGCTGCTGGGGCGGGAGGGGGGTGCACGACCAGGGAGCTTTCAGGGGGAGCAGCTCCCACCCAGGCCCACAGGTCTCTGAATCACCGTGCCCCACTCAGGTCAGGAATTCTCCCAGGAAGTGCACAGGTCCAAGGGACACCCCGGCCCAGTGCGCAAACAACGTTTGGCCTCTTTGGGGTTCCTCATGGAACCCAGATGCTGTGACTGCAGGGTATTTCCCAAGGACACTGGTTCTCGTCCCTCACCCACCGTCTCTGCCACCTGGGCTCGTCCTGCGAGCAGATGTCACAGGCTGCGTGGCTGTGACTGAGGCAGCGTTGGCCCCTTCAGAGACGTGGGTACTGAGTTTCCAGAGGTCTGGAGGTGCAGGCTGGGGCTGGAGCCGGGGGGCCTCAGAGCAGCGCCAGGGGAGGATGGGCAGGGAGGAAGGGCCAGCATTTCCCCAGAGGGTCCCTGGGAGGCTGGTTGGTACCACTTTACCCACCACCAGAGGTTCCCAGCAAGAGGGGCTCAGAGGAGGGCTCCTCCAGTGCCCAGGGAGGGTGACAGGGCCAGTGGTATGTTGGGGGCAGGGGACGGGGGTCCTGGGTGAGCTCTGTGCCTCTCTGAGGCCTGTCCAGCTTCCCAGACACGTGCATCTTGCTGGCCTCCACCTTGCCCCAGTCCGCAGCCATCCCTGGGCCCCATTCCCAGGGTAAGTGCAGGTTACCTGCAGGGCCTGCTCACACGCACACCTGATCTCGCTCACAGGCACACCTGGCTCTGCTCACACGCACACCTGACCCGGCTCACAGAAACACGTGTCGCCACTCACAGGCACACCTGGTCCCGCTCACAGGCACACCTG